TCAATTCTGGAGGTTGGTACCTCAAGGAAATATTTCGATCCGTTGACGGTTCTCGTGACTAACGAGCTCTGATTGATCGGTGGTCAATGACAGAACTGTCACGGTTGACAATAATGCTCTTTGACTTATTGTTGTAGTCTATAATATTGGAGTTCTCTGGTTGTAGTTTTCGCTTCTCATTTCCAGTCAGGATGCCATTAGTTAATGTCTTGGCAAACAAATCGAAGCACGAGGACCTTTTTCTACCTCCGAACATTTCGGCAGAGGTTCGCCTCTGATTGTTTTTTGTCTGAGTTCGACGGTCTGTAGGTGCAAATTTTTCATCCGATAATGGATTACCAGATGCGCAAATAATATCTTCCGCAAATTGTCGTTTGCTAGGCACATATTACTGGAGGAACGAAAGACGAGATAAACGTGAGCTGACGTAGAGCGACTGTTGCCCGACTCATGGTTTGGATTATACGCAGACTTCAGCACAATTCTGTTCTCCAGTCCGACAGAACCGGGAGATGTTTTTTCGTTTAGGTTGTGGTATGTCAGTCCATTTGCAGATGGATCATCTAAAGCAGACAATTTCCCAGCACTCGCCAATGGCAAAACTGTTCTCTCAGTAATTCTGGAATTCACTTTAGCGACGGTCAAAGCAGTCAGAGAGCAGTTTTGATCAAGAGTTCTACCGACCTTACTTGCAGGCTTTTGCAGATCCGCGCTCACATGCAGCCTTTGCACCTTTGAACGACATAATCCATTTCCCAGAAAATAGATATTTCCGATGTGTATACCTTTCCCCCATTTGCAAACGCATAGATAAAGCCATTCTGGTGAACAAAATTGTTAATAGTTAAGATCTAGCGTAAAAACGTCGGATGTTCTGAAGTGTGTCGCAAGACCTGTAGTAGACCGGAGCCTTCGATGGAAGCAACGGTGGTTGAAATGGCGTTCGAAATTATATTTGATTTCGCATGAGGTCTCACATTTGTGCGTCGGAACGCGCGGGTTTTATTAGTTATCTAACACTTTTCTTAATATTTGTGGACCTTTTCCTTTTGTTATTCTGATACTTTTGCCGAACGTCTCTGAAATATTAGCTGGCAAAAGAAATGGAACGCTCTTGAAGGAACAGCCCAAGTAAGGGTTGATTCGACAAGAGACGCTGTTTAAGTGGGCATGTTTACATTGCAATTTAGTAAATCGCTCCGCAGAAAGCAAATCGTTAGCGTAATCAACATCTGGATTTTGGTTGCGGCCTTCGTAATCGGGGAAACTCCTTTTCTCCAAGGCTCTATGATTGACGCCAATTAACAAGGTCGGTTGCGAATCGCCTGGATCGCTGTCCATAACATACTCCCACAGGAAATCCCTCGTCGGTGTTCGCCTAGGATTACATACGTTGTCATCAAGATGGAGTGAGTCCATCGCTGTCAAATGCCGTCCGTTAGGGGGCGGAACGTTGATGTTATTTTTAAAGACAGCTCCTTCAAGAGATGCTCCCACCATCCTCCATTTTAAAGTAGCGTCGGATCCTTGTCTGTGACGTTTTTCGAGTTGCTCCAAATTTTGCAACAAATATCTTCTTTCGACAGTTGCTCTTTTGCGAGGGGCAGGGCACTTATCTCGAAGCAGTTGAGCAGCACAACTAGTGAAGGGGCGATCGAGAAGCACAAAACTTGTTCGATAGAAGTTATCCGATTTTATACGCGACCTATTGTTAACACTGTACGAAGATTGCGGTCACTAGGTAAGCTGCAGTGTCTTGTCTAGCTCACGCCAATTCCAATGCAAGCCACTGAGAATGTTATTCGGGCATACACCTACCCTTGTACCCAATGCAAGTGAACATACGGGTGAGAAGTCTTATTCTGCCTATGATCAACTGCCTTCTCTGGGTAGTTTTGGGCATTTACAAGGTCATGTGTGTCAGTAGCTTGCCAATAGGCGAGCATGTACACCTCTGTAGCCGTCGTGTTCTTGGGAGACACTGCCCGTTCAGATTAATCTTTCCCTTAGCAAATCAACGCAATTCCTTTCAGTCAATCGTGCGTTGCCTCCAAGAAAGACCTGTTACGCACGTTTTATTTGTTTGAATAAATGCAAACAATATACCAAATGATCCATGATAAAGGCAACCACCACCCCATATAGTTTCTAGTGCACAACAGGTCGCATTGCACCTGTAAGGGTTGCATTGATTGACTGCAATTATTCTCTTAAAACGTATTCCCGATTTTATCTTACCAAATGTGATAAAAAAAGAATCTTAGTATTTCCTTAATAAGCACCCAGTCGGGCATCGGAAAGTGTGACTGGAACCAAAACAGTTGGCACTAACTACCCGTTGCTTTTGAAAATGGGCTCGCTTTTTCACTTGTTTTTAAGGTTCTCAACCCACATATTACGCATTCTCTGAGGCAGATTCACATTGCCCTGTGAAGAGGTCTCCTGGTGCTCATATTGCAATACTTGTGCGAAATGTTGTATACTTTGTGGACAACAATAATGAGCGCGGAAATAGTAGGCTAAACGGATAGTCATAAGTGCGTACTGTAAGAACTCAATAGCTAAAAACATTTTCAAAACTCATTAAAACTCCTCATATATAAAGTCTGAAGACACCATAGTGGAAAATTGACTTTTGTGCGCCTTAATTTCGAAATATGACCGGGTTTATGGAAAAACTGGAACTTTATGAAAATATGCATTACGTAAGTATCCATTTCCATTTAAAAAGGTGTGGGAAAACTTCAGTGGATGTAAAATGGCGGTTGTTGCACAGTCCAGGTTCATAATTCCTGCTTTCAAAATAGAAGGATCCAGCAAATAAGCAGTCAATAACAGCCGACCCCATAGCCGCATGCTCTAACGGCTTGGGTCGCTAGTTGCCATGCCGCTTAAGAGTAAATGCACAGTAGAAAAAGCGAACTAAACTGAAAGTGAACAACCAAACTACGGACGGTTCTTTTGCGAGCGCGATCGAAAGGTTGCTTGCGCAATGTTCCTCTGATGTCTAGGAGAACAAAATTTACTTCATCTAACTCTTAGATAAACCCATTATCGAAAAAAGGGTGATGCTTTCCAGTTTTCATCATTCCTCAAAAAAATCTAAGACGCAAAAAATTCCAAGTTCTACAAAGATAAGTTAAATTTCTATTTAAAACTGGAAGGCATAGTTGCTCAGGTTGTAGTTGCTTGAACGGTATATCGTAAATGTAGTGGGTTTTAATCAGCATCTAATTATTCAAAACCGTTATTTGAATCAGGTATTCTTCCACCCACTACAAATAGCTCAAGCAAACCAAAATGTTCATTAATTTAAGTGGATAGCATCTCCCACTTTATCTTACCTCATCATGCCTACGATTTTTCTGAGTGCTCCTCTTCTGTATTTTCTCCCGCAGTTTTGCACTCTGTTGTCTAACTTTGTCGTACTTTTCTTTCCTTATTTGCTCGGATTCAGCTCTTGCCTTCTCGATGGCTTCAGTTATGCGTTTTTCTCTGGCGTTCAATGCGTCTCTATTAGCTCGGAGCCATAGGAGGCCAATCGGCGTGTCCGTACGGCTCAAATCTGTTCTACCGTCTTCTTTCGACTCCCACCAACACAGAGACTGCTGCTTTGAGAAAGATGTCCATTTTAACTGCGGACTTCCTTCCCCTTCTTCACCATCAGCGGAGTTCTTTCGGTGGATGTCGTCATTATTGTTATTGAAATTGGTCTTCAGGACTAAATGCCCCCTTGGAAAATCGCAAAGTCCTTCTTGAGAGCACCTGTTGCTTGGTGCACAACTGAGTCTGGACTAGAAGGATATATAGAAACAGATTATTTCTTACGGCGCGTAAATTTTCGAATCTAAAATCCTGCAGCTTATCCGGGAAGGGGTCATTAATATAACCTGATTCGTTTTTACAGCTTGTAGACCGTGTCAGGTCAATGTGAACGGCGGGGGGATATTCATTGGATGGGAAATCGGGTCGAGACCCTAGACGTAGACTCCCGCGTATTCTGTTAAAAGCTTGAGTAAAGTAGGGTCCAAGGTCACACTACCTAGAATTTTCCGGGATCATAGACAAAGAGGATCGATTTTGTTCCCATTGTGAGGAACGTTTGTCTTCTGCAGCTTCTAAGTTACTCTGTTTATGCCGCCACTTGGTCCACAAATGTCGCAGGCGTCCATTGCTAGCCAGAGTTTGGGATGTTTTGTAATTAATAGACAGATGATCCGTGGCTTTTTACAAGGGCAAGTTTGTTTCAAAGCGTTGTGTTCATATGTACTTCGGATGTCTAGAAAATATACAGTTACGACAACGCTTTGTAGAGACTGAGAACGACTGGCAGAACGCATGAATGTGCAAAACACACCAATATCAGCTGCGAACCTGATAAAATAAAATCTTTCGCCGATGCCGACTAAATTTGGCGTGAATGTTTGCATAACAATCCAGATCCAACTCTAAAAGACCGTCTACAACGACTTAGCCCCAGGTTTTTAGTGAATGGGAGATCGTAAAGTTCACTTCGGAAAGTGGATGCATACCAGAAAACGAATAGAAACCCTAGGGGTAGACTGGTGAGTGCAGACCCTTGTAGACACAGATAGCTGTTTCCGAGTTATTTTGCGGTTTTAATAATCGAAAAGTTAACCTGCCAATATCCGATCTAATCACCTAATCAAATTATTACATGCCAGCGGCTTCGAACGACTGATCTCTGCAAACTCACCTTTTTGATTATCAGTGAAGCAATCATTCGCAACCGAGGGTCGACGGACAGCACGGATGGGCATGCCTAAGGTTACAAAATAAAGGATCCGCACAGGTGTCTGGATAACAACATGTTGCCGAAGTGTGTTTCATACAAACCCCCAGTAAACACGGAGCTGGCGAGACGCGCGGTATTTCAGCGCAGAAGACGTATGACCCGTGTGTCCCTTCAAGATTGCCATGCGAGGCTTCGCAAATACCGTCAGAGACTTTACCAAGAGAAGGCCAGGTGCTGCGAGTTCATGGACGAGTACGGCACAAATCTGCTTCAGCAGGTGACTGAACGAGCCCGTGAGCAGAGAGCGACACGAGATGCAGCACTGGGGAACAAACTCCACAAACTGCCTAATCCAACGTCATCCAGAGGCGGCACGCTGGTACACAACCTGTCGTCAAAGGAACTGACGAGGGAGCAAGTGCAGGTTTTACGGCACGAAGCCTCATTCAACACAGCTGACGCCAAACCTCTCAACATCACTGTAGCAGTGGAATCGGTCATTAATCAGACGGAAGCGGCTGAGGAGACGAAGAACCTTATCCGACACCAAGTGTCGTCCCTCCTTATGACTCACAAGCCGCGCGAAACACTCACAAAGGTCGAACGCCATGCACTAAGAGAACTCAAGGCCGACAAGAACATCGTCATTGTGCCCGCGGACAAGGGGCGTCCCACCGTCGTACTGGACAGAACAGACTACCTTCAGAAGGCCAAAAACCTACTGGAGGATCGCCAGTTCTATGTCCCATGTGAAACCAACCCCATAAAAACGCTGACACGCGAAATTAATGTGACACTGTTAGCAATGGTGAACTCCGGTGCAATAACACAGACCGACCGACGCATGGCGAGAGCCCAAGAGACGGCCTGGGCCCGATTCTATGGTCTCCCCAAGGTGCACAAGGAGGGCGCTCCTCTCTGGCCCATTGTATCGCTCAAAGGCACTCCAACGTACGGACTGGCAAAATGGCTGTTTCGGCACCTCAAATTTCTGACCGCTGATTCGGTCACCATCGTCTGTTCGCCAACACAATACCTGGAGAACCTTAAAGGAGTAAGTCTCTTGCCAAATGAGGTCACGGTATCTTTTGATGTCACGTCCCTCCTTACTTCTATCACCCGAGGATCTGGCAATCAAAACCGTTGAACTACTCCTACGAAGCAAATACAATGAAATGGAGAATCGTCTCGGACATGCCCAAGTCCTTCAGCTCCTAAAGTTTTGTCTCAGGACGTACATCAAGTTTGACGGAACAATCTGCGAGCAGGTGAAGGGAACACCAATAGGCTCGCCCATTTTGGAATTCATCGCCGAGGTTGTCCTACAGCGGTTAGAGTCGCTGGTCTTTCAACACCACAGACCGAAATTCTGGGCTCGGTCTGTGGACGATACCTTTGTCGTCATCGAATGGGATCAGGTGCTAACGTTCAAAGGACGTCTCAGCAGCGTCTTTCCGAACAAAAAGCTTACGATGAAGGAGGAAGAAAATAACCAGCTGGCATTCCTTGATATCCTCGTCTGTCGCAAAGATTGTGGTGGTCTAAAGACCAAAGTGTTCAGGAAAGCGACGAAAACAACGCAAATACTGAACTTCAACAGCAACCGCCCAATCAGCCACAAAGGCAGTTGCGTAAGAACGCTATATCGGCGTTTTGAGACGCGCTGCAGTGAACCGGAAGACAAGGTTGCCGAATCCCAATATCTTCGACGGGTTTTCAGAGAAAACGGTTACCCGCGCAACTTCGTCAACCGGTGCGTGCGCAAACAGGACGAGCGACAAAATCGTACCGACCCCAAATTCTGGCGTGCGATTCCGTACATCAAGAACGTCTCCGAGGCCGTTAGTTGCCTTCTTGCACCACTTGGGATTGGAGTTGTACACAGACCCCAGGCGTCAGGTGTTGAGACCAAAAGACCCACTGCCACGGCAAGAAACATCTGGAGTCGTTTACCGGATCTGGTGCAGTTGCGGACAAAGCAACTACGTCGGAGAAACTGGAAGACTGCTCCGGACGCGAATTGCCGAACACGTGGCAGCTGTACGGAGAAATGACGCCAACTCTCAGGTTTCGGCCCATTCGACGAGACCCGGCCACACATGCAAGTTCGATGAGGCTGAAATTCTCGCGAGAGGGGATAATCGCGTGAGCCGCGAGTTGCTTAAGTCATGGTTCACGGGACCTCAGTCTATCATATATTCCATATTGCGTGCTTAGGCGTAGGTTGGCCAAAATAACTGACCACTCGGGGAACGCTAAAGCCGTGGAGCCAGATGGTCGATCAATCATCATGCCAGCATCTAACACGGGTGATGAGATTGCAGGAACTAACAACATGCATGACGGCCATCAAGAAATTGGCGCACCAGCGGGCAACAATTCTTTATGAAGGGAAGCGCAGTTAACTAATATAAGTATGCCGTAGCATAGCGACTGCATCCTATAAATACTGCAACTCCCTGTGCACGCGTCACCCGTTTCTACCACTGTCTCTGATGATGGGTTCAAGTGAGAATCCGAAACGTCAGGCGAATAAAGTCCCTGTTCCAGCGATCACTTCTCTTTCTTACCAATAAAAGATCTTCCGCTAGTATATTGTGTCTACACCGCATAAGCTATAAGCAAAATGCTGTCACATGCGTCAACGGAGAGAACACACGCGTAGATGAAAAAGGTCACATACAAGCCCATTCATGATATTTTGTTAGACGAATTAATAAAGTCAGTGGTCGCAAATAAAACTTATTATCGTCCGTTCTTCCAATAAGTGGAAATAATATTTTGCATATTCGTACTGTAGAAATATGGAATCCCAGTTGGGCAAGTTACAAAATAGAACGAATACGAATCCCCAACTTGTATTTCAAAAGTTCCAACCGCCGTGGTAATAAAACATCGCCATTCGTCGTACAAAATTCAATGTTCTCTAAGCCCTAATTTATAGGACGAGCCTAATGCAGTTATAATTACGTTCTTGTTCGCTTCAAGACCTACCGAACATCGAAAATCGGGAATTACGGAGACAAAACATGATACGTCCGTATTTTAATGAGTATAATTGCTCACCACAATCAGTGCCAGTTTTTTGTGATATATATCCCAAAATAATAAGCCCATACAATCAGAAACCTTTTATCCTGAGCAATTTTATCTTGGCAATTAGAAGTATTGTTAAAATTGGCGTCAGTTAAAGGCTTTTCGGGAATGAAAAATAGCAAAAGATAGTCTTCATGTCTCCTAATTTAGCAAAAATGCACTCGGCCCATTAAATAACGCCATCGCTTGCCATTTATGACAGCCCCCAACAGTCTATACTAAAGTACACGTGATAGAAATGGGGATTTTATGCTCTTATAGGACCGAAGGCAGGTTGATTCATACGTTTTGCAACGATAGCAAGTCACAGTCACTAGTGGACATATAATGTGCAAGATCCGAGAAAAGTTCTTTCCACTAAAAGATAAAAGGCAAAAAACAGGAAGACTGATTGATACCCCGTCCACTTACATATACAAATAATGCTTGTATTTATGCCTTTCCAAGCGAACGTAGGTGAATTTTATTGTTAGCTAAAAATAGCCGGAATACGTTGATTCACCCTTACGCTGTTCCTGCTTCGCTTTCCTTTTCATTTCGAGCCGTCGTAATGTCAGTTTGAACTTTAGAGTAGATCTTGCCTGGTGTTGCTGCAGCTTATATGACCTGCCTACAAAGTTTGCTTTTCAGCACTAACAATATGTAGCAGGCAGAGTAGAAGTGACTTTTAAGCATCTCAAAACAGAACGCTGGAGAGTTCCAGAATTAATGCAGTGTAGTTCCGACAATGTGGGAACATGGTCTTCGTTAAACCTAGAGAGGAATGTCTATCATAGTCCAAGTTAGTATTGTCAGAAGGAAAATCGGATAGACCGTCCAGCAGCTAACGGCACGTAGAAGTTTCCTAAAATGAACCTACAATAGAAAATCTCCAAAACAGCGCAGTATCTGATTATGGCCGTATTTTTCTAATGCAGTCAAGGGCGTGTCGGGATGTCCTTCCGTTTTAATTTAGTCATAAACTAATTGTCTTTACTAACCGATAAAGCATGTAGGCAATCGTATAAAAATGCACAAAACGAGTTGCAAAAAGGCTCAGGCCGGGTAAAACGGATTATCCATCAAAACTCAAAAGTCTGTAAGCAATGCAGGGGTATAAACGGTTCTATAAAGGAAACTTCCTGGGTATGTAGGACATGAAGTCATCTGTGGCCATTGCACAGTTGGATGTTCAAAAGGAACTTGAATTGACCAAGGGGAAACACTTTTTGAGCACCGAAACCATATGCTTGCGCCTGAGCCTCCGAGCTAGTACAAGAGCCCATCGACACAAAGCTCCCATGCGCAACATGACCATGGAAAGATAATAACTGATAAATTTAAGACAGCAGTCCAGCGTAGTGTACCATATCCCATGCCTAATCTGTCCTTATAAATAAGATCAGACTGAACGCATACTTGGACCGCGCAAACACGACTTAAGCTGACTGTGCGACGGGGGTGATGAATTATCGAAAAGGACCGCCCACGCCTCGAGATAGGTTACGAGTTCAATCTCGCATCCACCCAGGTAATCGCCCATGCCGGAAACAAGACAAGCCAAAGGTTCATTGAAGCCTTTGATTCCGGTAAAAAAAGCCCGTCAGACTATGCATTGATTCTTCGTCAGCTTATAGAGCCCATAGCAACCCTAACAACCAAGCAGAAGGACCCAGTCTTGACTTACTAAAGACAGAATCGAGAAACGCTCATGGATCTGGCCTAGCCCACTGACCTGTTTACTCAACCAGTTCAATTTGCGTCTTGTTCTATGTCAGTTTTGTCGTTTGTCGTGTTATCCCTTCTTTTACAACATTTCATATTTTCATGGCTAGCCATGCACATACGCGTTTGCATTACTGTCCTTTTTGATAGTTTATCTAAAATAACCCGTTATATCTTCCGCCATCACTTAAATACGTTCCTCTGCCACAATGGACTTTCTCAGCACAAAAATAGCACATTTCCATGAAATTCCGAAGTTGGGTAGGTTTGAAACTGTTGAAAAATGAGTACTTTGGGTTCAGTCTCGAACTAACTGCCCAATATTATGAGAGAAAGAACTATCTTTGGCTGCGAACGATAGTTCTACCCCACTCAAGCCCCTTATGTTGAACATTACACGGCCAAGGCAACGGTGGTGTTGATCAACGCCTATAACTATTGCCGGTCTTATTTCTGATCAAATCTCTAACAGCGGACTCCTGTGCACGTTCGGAAACTCCTACTAATAAGCAGGCGGCTCTGACGATCGACCAGTCTCCTCCCTTACTCATGCATACGCCTGAACTTCGAATAATTAATTATTCTAATGGATGTCATTACATCCATTCGTGGAACTCGAAATAACCAATTACGGACCAAGCACAGCTGGATGGCTTTAAAAGACCGCAGTTGTAGATACTGGCAGTACGAAAAATAGTAGAATAAGGCACCAATGACTAGAGGTTTTCGTGACAAGTTGAGTATAGTCTACGTCTCACGTCCTACTTATTTGACATGTTCGCGTATAACCATAGTTTCAATAAATACCGAGAGTGTAATAAAAGCGAAACTTCGACTTGAGTTCAAGTTGAGTAAGATACTCAGATGCCTGCCTATGCTCCGCATTTCGTAAACATATCGTCAAGGATGGAAATAGGGCTCGACACTGAAGAGTTTTCAGTAAGGAATTGAAATAATTCGGGGGAGGTCGTCGTCAGCGGTGCACTAGTGGGCATGCTACTCTGCCTGCACCAGTCCCGGCTGGTCGCGCCTTGGCGCAGTAGCGAGAGGCGATTATCAGGCGGCCAGAGGTGGCTGTCTGACGTGAGTTAAACGTGACATTCGACATGACAGCCAGGTTTGGCCGCATCATCGGAAAAAAAATCAGCGGTAGCGCTCCCATTCCCCTCCGCTACCCCACTTCTTTATAAACTCGGTTTTGTATCCGCGAATGCACTCATTCTAAACTGTCGGCTACTGCAGTATCATTACATGTCTCATTAAATCCACCGGCCTCGGCTGAAGCAAAGTGGCAACAAACACCCCACGCAAGTGTACAACCGGACAACCAAGTTATCATTTACTATCAGAAAATAGAGAAACGTGGATGGAAAACAATTAGAAACCACGGTTTGCTGAGTATTTGCAAGTGAGAGAAATCTGTGCGAAAAATATATGCAAGAATGCAGTTCTTCATGGGACAATAAAAGGCCGGTGGACCGTTTTCACTCGTTATCGACTGTTCTTGCAAAAAAAGATATGAAGAGAGAGAGGGGGGAATGCTTTATTTTGAAAATAACATTCAAAACTTTCAGAAAAAACGGTTCTCCAGTACACAGTGATTACCAGGTATTACCAGTGATTAACAGGTATTGGACAGGTGGACATACATATATATGAAGAAAAAATGACTTTAAGGTGCAAGATCGAGATTTAGCTTTTGTTTTTCAGCAAATTTGCAGGTGAGATACCGGGCTAGAAATGACAGTATGAAATCCTGATAAGCCGGAGTGCAACAAGGGATGTGGCGGAAGCATCAGCGCATGGGGCGTAAGGATTTCGCAGCCATTAACTCATTATGAAGGGGATGGACGGTGTCATTCAGAATTCGGTCAGCGAAATGCTCCACCGAGTTGAAGTGTCGCTGCACGATGATATCAACTAAAATATGATAGGAAACACCAGCAGCAGATGCGAACATTCGAATGACACATTTAAAAATAATTAGATCTTTTTTAAGTAAAGCTGGAAAAATAACTGGAGAACAATAAAGAATGAGTGGAAGAATACAGCCATCTATGAATCGCCAGATTAAGGACTGGGGTGTGTGATATGAACGTAGACGACGAATGTAATAAAGAAGTTTTTGAATTTTTGTTAAAAGGGTTTCCATATGAAGAGAGAAAGAGAGATTTTAGGACAAAGTAACACCTAGGTACCGGAAAGAGGACACCTCATTGGGAAGAAAATCCAAAGGTTCAGGAATGGAAGAGGG